ATTGGAGTATTGCCTGAATGTCAGAAGATCTACAAGCAGTATGAGTAAAATATTAGAAGGAAGAAATGTTCAAATCTGGAAGCATTGTATCCTAGAATCCTTTGCAAGAATCTTAAGATTTTGCTCTACTTTAAAGGAACCCAAACTACAATGTGTCGTCCTAGGGATTTTTACAAAAAGACAATGCTGAAAATAGACCAATTCCATAGACCAATTCTCAGGAAGAAGATTTTTTTTAAGAGCTTTAGCGAATAAAAATGTGTTTCTGTGTTTAAACTAAAAATATTTAAGGTACATATCATTTTAATGCTTCCCTTCTTTGATTATCTTTAATTATCCCTCTCTTAAATCAAACAGAGGGTCTAGCATAACGTCAAATACCAGTAAAAATGTGGTGAAATTAGCATATTCATTATGTTGCTGGTAGCAAAGTGGTTGATACAACCATTTTAAAAAATAATGACAGGCAGGCTGGCAATGTGGCTCAGTGGTAAAGCATTTGCCTAGCATGAATAAGATCCTGGGTTCAATCCCCAGCATTTTGGGGGTATAAGATGACATGGCACACACCTATAATCCCAGCAATAATTTGGGAGGCTGAGGCAGGAGGATTGTAGTTTGAGGCCAGCCTCAGCAACTTAGCAAGACCCTGTCTTAAAATTTTTTTTAAATAATTAAAGGACAGGGGATGAAACTCAGCAGTGAAGCACCAAAAAAACCCCAACAAACCATAAAGAGGGCCATGGTAGAACACTTGCTTGGCATACATGAGGCCCTAGGTCCAATCCCCAGCTCTATAGACACACCATCACCACCACCCCTGCCGCCCCAGACATGCAAGTAATGATCACTGATTGTTATAAAAATGCTCATATTTTCTGATCCACTAAACTTAATTGTGGGAGGATTTTTTCTTTTTTTTTTTTGAGTGGTACTGGGTATTGAACCTAGGGGTGCTCTACCACTGAGCTACACCCCCAGCCCTTTTTACTTTTTATTTATTTTGTGGGGGAGTGCCAGGAATTGAACTCAGGGCCACTTGGGCACTGAGCCACATCCCCAGCCCTATTTTGTATTTTATTTAGAGACAGGGTCTCACTGAGTTGCTTATCACCTCGCCATTACTGAAGCTGGCTTTGAACTCACAATCCTCCTGTCTCAGCTTCCCAAGCTGCTGGAATTACAGGCTGCACCACTGCACCCAGCTCCCTGCCCTTTTTATATTTTTTATTTTGAAACAGCATCTTGCTGAGTTATTGAGTCTGCCTTAAACTTGTAATCCTCCTGCGTTAGCCTCCTGATTAGCTGGGCTTACAGGCATGTGCTCTGAGAGGTTAAGGATATAATCTACTCTGCTTCTCCAAAGACACTATATTTGTAAACATATTTACTGAAAGATTATTTTTAATGACAAAGTCATTTGTGCCTTATATTTAGTAAGAAAAATGTTAAATGGCTTATAAGAGAATTTAATGTTGTTTTGTTTTTTGTGTTCATTTGGTGCTGGGGATTGAATCCAAGATCCCTCGAATGCCAAGTGCTCAGTCCACCACTGAGCTACACCCAGGACACCTTAATTTAATTTAAAAGTGATCACCAGGTGTGGTGGTGCACCCCTGTAATCCCAGCGGCTTGGGAGGCTGAGACAGGAGGATTGCAAGTTCAAAACCAGCCTCAGCAAAAAGTGAGGTGCTAAACAACTCAGTGAGACCCCAGTCTGTAAATAAAATACAAAAAATAGGACTGGGGATGTGGCTCAGTGGCTGAGTGCCCCTGAGTTCAATCCCTGGTAAACCCCCCCCCCGGCCAAAAAAAAAATGAATTAAAAGTGATCATTATTAAGATGTGTTGTCAATTTGGCAGAACTTATAGAAGTGAAAAAAGCTAAAGATTCTATTTTTAGGGATCGATTTCCGTAGTTATTAAAATTTTAAAAACTGAATACAAAATAATATCTCTAATTACAACACTGTAAAATATATGTATATATAGATAGCAAGAACTAAAGAAGAAAAATGAAAATATTTGATTTTAAACTATTGAGAATCATTTTTCTTAATTTTTTTTTTTTTAAAAGAGAGAGAGAGAGAATTCCAATATTTATTCTTTAGTTTTTGGCGGACACAACATCTTTGTTTGTATGTGGTGCTGAGGATCGAACCCAGGCCGCACGCATGCCAGGCGAGCACGCTACCACTTGAGCCACATCCCCAGCTCCATTTTTCTTAATTTTAAAATTTATTTTATAATATTGTACACAAGAAAAATTTCAGTGGTATACAGAATAGAGTGAGATAGCTGGCCCTGTTATGGACTTGAAGAATGAGAATGGCACAAAGAGAACATAAAGAGATTATTGCAATAGTTAAGATACAAAATGAGGGCTGGGTATGTAAGTCAGTTGGTAGAGTGCTTGCGTCGAATGCACAAAGCCCTAGGTTCAATCCCTAGCACCACGTACACACAAAAGATATGAGATGAAAAAGTTTTGAAGAGTGAAAATCATGGTGTTGGCAACTGCTGTCTTGTAATCAGAATTTAAGCCAAGGGTGGTGATGCATTCCTGTAATCCCTGCCACTTAGGACACTCAGGCAGGAGGACCACAAGCTCAAAGCCAGGTTTAGCAACTAAGCAAGGCCCTTCTCAAAATAAAACAATTAAATTAAATAAAGACTGGAGATGTAGCTCAGTGGTTAAGTGCTCCTGAGTTCTAGCTCTAGTACCATAAAAAAATAAAATTAAATGAAAAATTTAGTTAAGGGGTGACCTGATAATTTTTATTCTGGGTGTCTCACTTTGATGAAAATAGGCAAATCCAGATGGCAAACCTCTTAGAGCAGAAAGATGAATTGGCAAACCTTAATGGTGGTAGGGAATGTGTTGTGTTTATTTGGGAAGAAACAGGATATATATATACATATATGTATATATATGTATATGTGTATATATACACACACATATACATAGTTATATATACATTATATATATAAACAGTATATATTTGTATAATTTTTGGCTTGTTTGTTTTTGTTAGTACTGGGTATTGAACCAAGGTCCTGGAGTCTTTTTATTGTGCACCTGTGATGAAACTCTTATGAGAAAACCCTTGCATATAAATTGTACTTAGATTTATAGTTTTTAAGGTAAGATTGTGGTGGTAAGTTACTATTTTTAGTATAAACAAGAGACTAAATGAAGTAGGAACAAATGGGAACAAATGCCTGGTTTCTTTGCCTTGGCATCTTATTACTTATATTTAATAAAACAATGCTAAAATTTTTTTAAATATTTTTAATTGTAGACAGACATGATACTTTTATTTATTTTTATGTGGTGCTGAGAATCGAACCCAGTGCCTCACACATGCTAGGCAGTGCTCTGTCACTGAGCCACAACCCCATCCCCACAATGCTAAAATTTATTTCTAGTATATTTAGTATATTAGATATACCACAACTGGTATATCTCCTAGTATGCTGAAGTTGTGTTCAATTTTTCACTTTCAGGTTTAAATTGATAATATGAAGCTTTAAAGAATCTAAATATATGAAGAAATATATTCTACTTTTGTGTTTCATGTAAATAGAGTTATTTTCCACAGAGAGGATGTACCCAGTGCTTTTTAGATATTCCTTCAGTCCTCTGGTATGCAAGTACTTTACTCTGTATATCTTAAAAATAATTAGTGATTAAACTTCAAACATATTATCTACTACTGTTCTAGTGCCAGTAGATCTATTTGATTAAAGCATATTGTGGGATTTTTAAAAAGTTGATCTCTGAATTAATCTGTGCAAATCAGCTTTACCTTTCTGTTTCTTCTCTTGGCTCTATGATAAATTGGATGCATAACCCTGCTATCATCACTTTTATTTTGATTTAAGATTTTGAGTTCATCTAAGCAATCATTCTCATGAATAAAATTTAAAAGGTTATACTTTAAAAAAGAAGAAAACAAAAGTTTACACTTAAAATGCATTTATAATTAAATGCCACTTTTAGCTGTTTTTTAGTAGGGTTCAAGATTGTGTGTTTATTTGAAAAAAAGATTCTACTCCAGTACATACTTGAAAGCTTTTATAATATGCTCTGATTGTTCTTTTACTATCACTTTTTGCAACTCTGTACCTCAAAACTAATAAACAGGAGCTGGAGTGCGGTGGTGCACGCCGGTGGTGCACGCCTGTAATCTTATCGACTCAGGAGGCTGAGGCAGGAGGATCACAAGTTCAAAGCCAGCCTCAGTAATAGCAAGGTGCTAAGCAACTCAGTGAGACCCTGTCTCTAAATAAAATATAAATTAGGGCTGGGGATGTGACTCAGTGGCTGAGTGCCTGTTACTCCCCATACCACCCCTCAAAAAACAGTTAACATATGCAGTGTTCATCTTGGGGGATTTAAAGTACAATCTACTATTGTGAATTTTGAAATGGCTTTTTTTTTTTTTTTGGTACCTGGAATTGAACCCAGGGCCACTTAACCATTTAGCCAGCCACATCCCCAGCCCCTTTTTATGTTTTATTTAGAGATGGAGTCTCACTTAGTTGCTGAGGCTGATTTTGAACTGGTGATCCTCGTGTCTTAGCCTCCCAAGCTTCTGGGATTACAGGCATGCACCACCACACCTGGCCAAACTGCATGCCTTTTAATAGAGCAACTTCAGAAGTGGTGTTTGGAATATCAGAATCTTTTTTCTCTACTTCTGTTCCTCAGACTCCCTAGTCTCACGGAAAGCAAACCAGAGTATACTTACCATTCAGCTTTGTTCAGGTGTGCCCTTACTAAGTCATGTCATTAGTGCTACTTTCTTGAGGTATAAGACATACTTTTGTAGTTTTAATACTCTTACCCTGCATATTAAGTGAAATTGCATGTTATATCAAATATCACATACTGTTTATGTCTTTCAAAATTTTTGGGGCGGGTTCAGTAATATATTTATGTCTTTTATTTTATATGTGTCATTGTTTATCCTCAAGGGACTGTATTTTTCTTCAAGGTAGAAAATGTTGTTAGCCCAGATAAATCGGGATTCTCAAGGAATGACAGAGTTTCCTGGAGGAGGAATGGAGGCTCAACATGTTACCTTGTGCCTCACAGAAGCAGTAACTGTGGCAGGTGAGCAGTCATATTTGAAGGGACCACATGAGTTTGGTAATATTATTTATCTTAAATAGAAACTTATGACACTGTATTTACTTCCCTGTAACTTAATTAGTGGTAACATAAACCTAGGCCTTTCTGAGGTTTTGTTTTGTTTTGTTGGTACTGGGGATTAAACCCAGTGGTAATTAATCAGTCAATCACATCTCCAGCCTTTTTAAATTTTTATTTTGAGACAGGGTCTCACTAAGTTGTTGAGGCTGACCTTGAACTTGTGATCCTCCTGCCTCAGCCTCTTGAGTTGTTGAGTGTGCCACCATGCCTGGCTATTATGAGCATTTTTTTTTCCCCCTGATGTGGGCATTGGGTATAGCAGGGCAGGGAAATATTTTTTAATAAATGCTAAAAGAGATTCCATTTTGGTCTCTAAGAATTAGGTAAAGCAACCTGCCTATTGCTAATCTTCATTTTTTTAAAAAATTAATCAGCATGCACATAATAGTTATCTAAAGAAAGTAATTTTGTTTTATAATAGATGGTGACAATTTAGAAAATATGGAAGGTGTAAGCTTGCAAGCAGTAACACTTGCAGATGGCTCTACTGCTTACATACAACACAATTCTAAAGGTATGTGCCTCCTAAATGGCCAGTTGGTTAGTACCAGCAATTTATAACCTTAGCATTGGAACCCCTAGCAACTATACCTCCTTCCCAGTCTCTCCTAAAGACACTAGATTGCTTATAATAATTTTAAATTATTTTTAACTTAAATTTTGATAACTGGATAATTTTGGGACACCCTTTTAGATAATAGGAAGATACTCTAGGGTATCAAATTTAGTGGGAGAGAGGAGGGAAGGGAGTGTGTCTGACCTGTTTCCTATTTTGAGCAAAACCATTCTTTTGTTTTTTAACTTTAAGTTGTTATTTAATGTGTTTATTAAACATAAGGGTAGACATTTGGTTTTGCTTTTGTAACATTGTCTCTAAGTTACTGTTTACTTTGCTCCAGGAAATAGCCCAATTCTAAAACTCCTTGTTTTTATGGGAACCTACTGAGCACAAATGTATATACACAGGGTCTGCATTCCTCCCAGGAGTGACAGTGACAACCAGCCTCACATACGCTGACATACTGTTCAGCTTCCCCATAGTCAGGGTCACTGATTCTGAGTGGTTCTGAAAGGTACGTTGAGGTTCAATTCATGTAGCTTGCTGTGATGAGCCACTCTTCCTCTTGTACTTGTTTGATTGAAAATTGGAGGGGAGGAAGGATGGCTGAGGGAGGATTTTCTGCTTTCTATAGGATCACTGGATGTGTTATTGAATTGCCTCAGAACGTTGAGGGAAGAATCAAGATGAACATGAGCTTAAGTAGTGTATGTTTTTATAGTTGATATCATTTTGAAATTGTATAAAGTTAAAAAATTTTTGTTTGTGCTAATTTATTGGCTTGAATCTTTTGTTCCAGATGGGAAGCTCATTGATGGCCAAGTCATTCAGTTGGAAGATGGTTCTGCTGCCTATGTTCAACATGTGCCCATACCTAAAAGTAGTAAGTATTTAAGATGCAACACAGGAAACCTCCTGATTCTCTGATTTTGGTGTTTGCTGCCACCAGCTTCCTCATATTACTTAAATTTGGTCCTGATTTCTAGTCTGCCTTTTTTTGAAAAGGGAGATAAGTAGGTGCCAGAGGTAGGATCTAAAGACCTTTTTTGTTGTTGTTTTTTTTCTCCAATACTGAAGATTGAACCCAGCACTGCTCTACTACGAAGCCATAACCCCAGCCCTTTTTAAAGAAATTTGAGACAGGGTCTTGCTAAGTTGCCCAGGCTGGTCTCAAACTTGCAATCTTCCTGCCTCAGCCTGTCAAGTAGCTAGGATTGTAGGTGTGCACCACTGCACCTGGCTTAAAGACCATTTTAATGTAACCAAGACTGAGTCTCAAAGATAGTGGAAAGGAAGTTCTAGAAATTAGTGGGTAGCAGTCCTAGGTGAATGTGTCTATTGTTTGAAATGAATCCTGCATTACTCTTTTTCTTCTTTTTTCCCCTACTTTCAACTCTCTTCCCCTCTTGTGTGTATTCCTAAAACAAGTATTATATTGCTTTTAAGTGCTTTCTCAAAGCAGCTTTATTGACTCATAAAGCAACTATAGGTTGTCATCATGCATTTAATAGCTAATTGATTGTTTTTTGCCAAGTTAGTTAATTGGAACATGTTGGAAAGCATGGGACCTAAATGTAAACAATTGTTTCTTGAGCAGGGGACAGTTTGCGTCTAGAGGATGGTCAAGCAGTGCAGTTAGAAGATGGAACCACAGCATTTATTCATCATACCTCCAAAGGTACAGTAACTTTGAAAATATGAAGTAAGGGAGAAGTGGGAGTATGGGAAAAATAATATCTGCTGAAGTATCGTCATGTGTAAAAATTGTATTTATCCTTTGAAGTTCAAGGCACCTGGCTTGCACACAGTTAAAAAGAGAAAGCTTTCTCACAATTTGAGCTGCCAGAAACCATTTGGAACAGTAAACACTATGGACTTTGGAGTCATAATTACATCAATTCAAATCCTGGTTTCTTTTTTTTTTTCCCTATCTTTATTTTATTTATTTTTATGTGGTGCTGAGGATCGAACCCAGTGTCTCACACAGGATAGGCAAGTTCTCCACCACTGAGCCACAACCTCAACCCACATCCTGGTTTCTTTACAACTGATTTGGACTATTACTTGTTAGGTTTTTAAAAATTTCCTGGTTCCTAAGGAAAGTGACTTTTCTCAAATTCTGATTCCCATTTGTATGGTAGTAAATATACCTGTTTCATAGAAGTTTTTTGAGAATTAAATGAAATAACATAAAGCACATCATCTGGTGTTTCTAGTACTACTCAGTAAAAGTTTATTCCCTTCTTCTTTTAAATATGTAACTGTTTGTCAAACTTTAAGGCCTTTCTCTTCTACTCCTTCAGATAGTTATGACCAGAGTGCATTACAGGCTGTTCAGCTGGAAGATGGCACCACAGCCTATATCCACCATGCAGTGCAAGTCCCGCAGTCTGACACCATCTTGGCAATTCAGGCCGATGGGACAGTGGCAGGGCTTCACACTGGCGATGGCACAATTGACCCTGACACTATCAGTGCTTTGGAACAGTATGCAGCAAAGGTATGGTATTTTACTTCAGTACTGTCCCAGGTACAGCCTCTTTATTTTTCATGGAAAAAAAAAAAAAGTACACTTTATTGGGAAACTAGCAATGCAGAACCAAAATCATTCAACCTCAAAGAGAACTGCATTTATCTTAAAAAGGTGAAGTGTAAAAAGATATATTGGAAGAAAAAATAAGGGAATGGGGTAAGGACTTACAGAAAATAAATGAATTAGCAGGTAATTTACAAAAAGAGATATTCAAGGATGAGTGCTATAGAAGAAATAATAAAGTATAGATATGCCCAACATGCCTATAATCCCAGTGGCTCAGGAGGCTGAGGCAGGAGGATCATGAGTTCAAAGCCAATCTCAGCAATTTAGCAAGGCCCTAGGCAACACAGCGAGACCATGTCTCTAAATAAAATATAAAAAAGGGATTTTAGCTTAGTGGTAGAGTGCTTTTGTAGCATATGTGAGGCACTGGGTTTGATTCTCAGCACCACATATAAATAAATAAATAAATAATCATCCACAATTAAATATATATATATTTTTGCATTGGGAAACTAGCAATGCAGAACCAGCAATGCATATATATATATATATATATGTGTGTGTATATATATATATATAGTTTGTTAGCAGTGGTAGAGTGACATTACAGAAATAGAAATATTGCAGAAATCCAGCTGAGCTTATATTCTGCAATCCAAGGCAGTTTGGGAGACCAGGCAATTTTCTTATTGTCCCATTCATGGAATTTTGTGGATCCTTTCTCTGTGACTCACTCATTATACACACACACACACACACACACACACACTCTCTCTCTCTCTCTCTCTCTCTCTCTCTATATATATATATACACACACACACACACATATATACACACATATATATATATATATATATATATAAATGTAAGTAATATATGTATATATAAATGTAAAAAAGGGCTGCAACAGTGGTTCAGTTCTAAAGTGCCCCTCAGTTCAATCCCTGGTACCAAAAAAAAAAAAAAAAGAGAGATGGACTGAGTTTTGATCATTGTGTAATGCTGTATGGCTATAGTTTCAGCCCTTTGGGAGGCTGAGTTAAGAAGATGTTTGAGTCTCAGAGTTCTAGGCTAGCCTGAGTAACGTACAAAAACCCCAGCTCTAAAAGGGGGTGGTGGTGGGTATTTTTCCTGCATCAAACATATTTCTCTCATTTAATTTAAGTTTTTTTTTTCAATTTTTATTTGGGAAGTCTACACACATAATATTAATAATAATAACAACAACATCAACAACAACAAAACCTCCATGTTCTCACCTGCCATACATTACCAAAATGTAAAACATGGGGCTAAGGATGTAGTTTAGTAGAAGAGGGCTTGCCCAGCAGGCATGAAGTCATCCTGGTATCTGTCCCCCCACTGTAAAAATGTAAAGATAAGGGGCTGGGGTTGTGGCTCAGTGGTAGAGTGCTCGCCTTGCATGTGTGTAGCCTTGGGTTCAATTCTCAGCACCACATAAAAATAAATAAATAAAATGAAGGTATTTAAAAAAATGCAAAGGTAAAACATCTTTAAGCTTTATTTTATTCCTATAGGTGTCCATTGATGGAAGTGAAAGTGTAACAGGTACTGGAATAATTGGAGAAAATGAACAAGAGAAAAAAATGCAGGTATGTAAATCTCCTTTGTTATATAAGAATCTCTTAATGTTTTCTAAGCAACAATAGAGATCATGCTACTTTTCTAGGAAAATTGCACCATTTCAGAAAAACAGTATCCGTATTAGGACCAGCTTTCTCAAATTACCTCAGGCCCTAAGATTTGTTAGTGGTGGTAGAGTGACATTACAGAAATAGAAATATCACAGAAATCCAGCTTAGTTTGTATTCTGGAATCCAAAGCAGTTTTGGAAACCAGGCAGTTTTCTTACTGTCCCATTCATGGAATTTTGTGGATCCATTCTCTGTGACTCACTCATTACTATGACCTAATCCTTGCTATTTTGCCTTTTTTTTTTTTTCCCCCCACCGACTTTCCTACCTCTATACCCCCTCCCTTCCCCTTTCTCCCCTTTGCCTTATCTAAAGTTTGTCCATTCCTCCCAAACTCCCCCCCAATCCCCATTATGAATCAGCATCCTTATATCAGAGAACACATTCGGCATTTGGTTTTGGGGGATTGGCTTACTTCACTTAGCATTGTATTCTCCAACTCCATCCATTTACCTGCAAATGCCATGATTTTATTTTCTTTTAATGTTGAGTAATATTCCATTGTGTATACTTTGCCATTTGTATGTTTTAAAAGTTTCTTCTACTTCTATTCCCGTATTTTCCTTTTCAAATTCTGAAGGGAAGATCCAGACAAGCTAATCATTATTATTCATACTTAGCAAAACTGATATTGTACTTTTTGTACCAGACTGCTTCCTGGGCTGCAGATGGCCTGTGGCTTCCCTTTGATTCAGTGTTCACCCTTGGTCTAGTCATTGGCTACCCCTTGCTCAGGTAACACCCTATTAACCACCAAAGTAACCATCTTTTTTGTCCCCCTTCTTACTGGGAATTGGACCCAAGGCCTTGTACATGCTTGGAAAGCACTCTACCACTAAGCTATATTCCCAACTGTTTTTTTTTTAATATTTATTTTTGGGGCTGAGGTTGTGGCTCAGCAGTAGAGTACTCACCTAGCACACCTGAGTCACTGGGTTCAAACCTCAGCACCACATAAAATGAATAAAGATATTGTGTTCACCTACAACTGAAAAATAAATATTTTTTTAAAAAATTTATTTTTTAGTTTTAGGTGGACACAATATCTTTATTTTATATTTGTGTGATGCTGAGGATCTAACCCAGTGCCTTATGCATACTAGGCGAGCACTCTACCACTGAGCCACAACCCCAGCACCCCCCAACTATTTTTTAATGTTATTTTGAGATAGGTTCTCACTAAAATTGCACAGGCTGGTTTTGAACTTGTGATCCCCCTGCCTTAGCCTCCCAGGTAGATGGGATTACAGGTATATGCCTCTGTGATCAGCCAAGGACACGTTTTTGAGCATTAACATCACCACTTAATAACATTTAGTGAGATTGTTAGGGCTTATCAAGAGATTTTTCAGTTATAATACTAATAAACGATAAAAGAAAAGAATTACTGATATCTCTGATACAAGTTTGATGATTGAATGGCCAGTCTATATATTTAACAGCTCAAGTGGTGCTACAGAGTAACAAGAATATAAATTTAATTTTCTGTTTACTAAGTCCATGAGCTTTGAAATTGTGTGATTCTTGGTAAAGTTTTCAAGTCTTGGAATTCACTTTCACATTTTATGAATGAGACTTAATATTTTTAAATTTTATTATGTCAAATTCATCTCAGCTAAATTCTACTGAAATGGAAACACATGTAAATGTATGCAAGAGATAGCTCAGTGACTTGCAGTGGCCTATTAAGTTTTCTTATTGGTAACTACCAAATGATAAGATATTTAAGCAGTAGAATCTTAGAATTTTTTTCTTTTGCAGTACTATGTTTTGAACCCAGGGTTGCTCTACTACTAAGCTATATACATCCCCTTTTCTATTTTTTATTTTGAGACAGGGTCTTGCTGAGTTGCCCATGCCGGCTTTGAACTTGTGATCCTCCTACTTCAACTTCCCAAATAGCCAGGACTACAGGCCTGCACCACCATGCTGCAAACATAGATTGGGGGTGGGGGGTAATGGAAATTAACCCAGAGTATTGTATCATGTTATACATTCCCAGCCCTTTCTTCCTTTCTCCTTCCCTTTTTGTACTTTTCCCTCTCTTTCCTCTCTTTCTTCTGCTTTCTTTCCCTCCCTCTTCCTTCCCTGCCTTCATCCTTTGCTCTCCTTTCCTCCCCTTTTCCCTTCCTTCCTCTCTTTTTTTATCACCAGGGGCACTCTACCACTTACCTACATCCCCACCCTTTTTTATTTTTTATCACTAAATTGCTGAGGCTGGCCTGGAACTTGCAATCCTCCTGCTTTAGCCTCCAAAATCACTGGGATTATAGGCATGTGTCACCATACCTGGCAACTGTAGAATATTTTTAAAGAAAGGAAGTTATAAGTGTGCTTGTAATTAACTAATATAGAGTGAGACTTAACCAAAAAATGAATGAATTTACCATCAGGCTTCTTAACCTATTAACATATATTATTATAAAAGACTATTAACATCAGTTGTTAATTTCTGAATCCAGAAACAGAGGGATTGAGAATTGCTAAGGCAAAAATGTCATTAAAAACTTCATTACCTTTTTTTTGAGGGAGTATCAGGGATTGAACCCAGGGGTGCTTAATTAACTACTAAGCCACCTCCCCAGCACTTTTTTTATATTTTATTTAGAAACAAGGCCTCGCTGAGTTGCTTAGGGCTTCACTAAATTGCCCAGGCTGGTTTTGAACTCGTGATCCTCCTGCCTCAGCCTCCCAAGCTGCCATGTGCCACCATACCCCACAACTTCATTACTTTTTATCTGAAGAAATAAAACCATTGTTATTGGTACCAATAGACAAAATAATAGAAGACGGTTCAATAGAATTTTTTTTGACCACAGCCTTCTGTCTTTTTCCTTGCAGACTAGATCTGTGCTGTCCAGTATGGTAGCTACTAACCACACGTGGCTATTGAGCACTTGGTGGCTAGTTTGAATTAAGGTGTGGATTTTTAAGACTTATTATGAAAAAAAAATGTAAAATATCTCATCAATAATTTTTCATATACATGTTGAAATAACACATATCCGGCCTATTATATTGGGTTAGATAAAATTAACTTTACCTGTTTCTTTTTCCCATTTCAATGTGGCAGTAGAAAATTTTAATTATATATATGGCTTGTATTTGTGACTTACTCTTTTTCTCTTTAGTACTTGACCAAAACTTCCTGTTTCTCTAAAACAATTGAGTATCACATTTGAGATTGAGGGCCCAATGTATGGTATTAAAAAGCCAGGCTGCTTCAAGGAATCGTAGCAAATAAGCAGAACGTATAACTTCTGGTCTCATCTCTTTGTGCTCCTTCTGCATTTTTGCTTATGAAGTTGTAGCTCTGTGTCTGCCTAAACTTTAAAGAAATTGATAGCTAAAGCAACAGATTTTCCTGTAAATAGTCTTGTTTCTAAGCTCTAGATTTTTAAAAAAATTGTGATGTTTATAGTTTAGAATTTTTATTTCAGCTGTAACATGAAGATGTTAGTTGTGCCACTGAACTCATCTCTGATATGAACAACAACAAAAAATTCACCGGACAAGGAAAGGCTTAGAGTACTTAAAGCAGTTCTCAGGTGGAGGCAGTTTTGCCCCAGGACATGTGGCAATGTCTAGAGACAGTTTTTTTGGTTGTCAACAATTTAGGTAAAACTACTTGAAACTTGGTGGGTAGAGATTTCCCCCAAAGGATAGCTCCACCAACAAGGAGTTACCCTCTGAAAATGTCAGTAGCACTGAATTTATTTTCAAGAAATTTTTTTTTTTTTTTTGAGAGAGAGAGAATTTTTATTTTTTATTTTTAGGTTTTATTTATTTATTTTTTTTCCGGCGGACACAACATCTTTGTTTGTATGTGGTGCTGAGGATCGAACCCGGGCCGCACGCCTGCCAGGCGAGCGTGCTACCGCTTGAGCCACATCCCCAGCCCCAGTAGCACTGAATTTAAAACCCCAATATAAAATAGTCTCTAAGAATACCTGTGTGTTCACTTGTAAGAACTGTAAAAACACTGGGGGGAGGCGGATGTGTTTGTGGCAGACTATAGCTATAGTCATTGCCCTCATGTTACAACACCCTTATTAATTAGAAAACAGTATTGAAGTAGTATACAATTTATTTTTTTTGGGGGGGTACCTTCCTCTATGGACTGAGTCCTCATATAGAGGGGTGCCCTTTCTTTCTTTCTTTTTTTTCTTTTTCTAAAGAGAGAGAGAGAGGGAGAGAGAGAGAGAGGGAGAGAGAGAGAGAGAGAGAGAGAGAGAGAGAGAATTTTAATATGTATTTTTCAGTTTTCAGCGGACACAACATCTTTGTTTGTATGTGGTGCTGAGGATCGAACCCGGGCCGCACGCATGCCAGGCGAGCACGCTACCGCTTGAGCCACATCCCCAGCCCAGTATACAATTTATAATCAAAAGATCCAGATTGAGTTTCTACTCTGCTATATAGTAGCAGTGGGACTTGGAGCAAGTTACTTCTCTGGATCTGAATTTTTTATCTGTTAAATGAGAATGATGATCATCTTTGCTTTACCCATCTCATGAGTTTATGATAACCAAGTGAGATTTTCATTTGGTTAATATTTTAAGTAACACATGAAAATACTATTTGTAGATGCATATAATTGTTGATACTCTACGTGTTATGTTAGAATGCCAGGCCCTTTCATCATTCAAAACTAACTTTTCTTTAATTGGAGATCAAAGTACTTTGGTTTGACAGTATTTTAATCAGAGCTGTAATAGTTGGAAGACCCACAAGAACCAGTCAAGCTAGCTCAAGGAAAAAAAGAGATATATTGTAAGGATATATCAGAGCAAATAAGAAGATCAGAATGGGAACTGCTGAACATTTAGTCCGCACAGGAACTAGAATTACAAAGGAATCAGGAATGGAGGCTGATCTCACTTGTTTTTCTTCTCTCTCCCACTTCCCACAAAGGGCTGGTTTCTTCCATGGCATCTCTGCTCCCTTTTCTCTGGAGATAGGCTTTCTCTGTCTTCTTATTGAGTTTGCACATGACTCATCATAGCCATGCTTTCTCAGGTTTACCACTCATGACCAACTCAGGATTTCCATTTCTCCCTCCCTCCCTCCCTCCCTTCCTTCCTTCCTTCCTTCCTTCCTTCCTCCATTTATTTCTTAGGTCAAATTCCTGCAGAGAGAATCTGTACACTTGGCGAGACTTTTTTTTTTTTTTTTTCCCTAGGCTGGCCTCAAACATCTGGGCTCAAGTGATCCTCTTACTTCAGTTTCCAGAGTGCTGAGACTATAAAGGCATGTAGCATGGGGCTCAGCCTGAATTTTTAAGCCAGACCACATAGGCATTGTTATATCACTGGCCAGCCTATAGATGTACAGTCTTCTCTGGTTAGCAGAGTCCGTGGATGTTGTTTTTCCTAAATCATGGGATTGAACCCAGAGCCTCATGCCTGCTAGGCACGTGTTCTTGCATTGAACCAAACCTGTTTAGTATAGGCAATTTAGGTGTGGTTCATATTTTATTTTATTTTTTTTTTTTGTTTTCTGTATTTTTTTAATCTAGCTACATGACCTTGACCAAGTGAAACTTGCTATATATATATTTGCAGTGCTGAGGGTTGAACCAGGGCCTCATGCCTGCTAGGCACATGTTCTTGCACTGAACCACATCCCCAGTCCAAACCTTGCTTTTCTTAAATATTTTAAGCCCACTTTTTTCCATCTCTTAAAGGTAATAATTATATCAGTGACTATTAGTCAGGGGCAAAGGATTTTTTAAGTTGACACAATAGTTGTACATATTTTGGGGCTAGGCACAGTGATATACACAGCAACTTTGGAGGCTGAGAGAGAAGGATCACAAGTTCAAGGCCAGCCTCAACAACTTAGGGAAATCCTGTCTCAAAAAATAAAGAGACCTGGGGATGTAGCTCAGTGCTAGGTTCCTCATAGGTTCAATCTCCATTAACCCCGCCCTCCCCCCCAAAAATTGTCATACCTCTTTGGGGGGTATAGTGGGATATTTCCATACAGATAGACAACATGTAGTGATCAGGTCAGGATAATTAACGTATCCATCACCTCAAATATTTATCTAGGATTTTTTAAAAAACGTGCTAGAGGTGTATCTCAATGATAGAGTGTGTGCTTAATATGCATGAAGTTCTAGGTCCAATCCGTAGCACCAATATTACTATTTTTAGTGTTTTTTTTTTTAATTTGGAGATTTTCCAAAAAGAAAACCCAAAATGACCCATAATATTACCATACGTATAGCTGTTGTATATACTTAAAAAAATAAAGCTTTTTAGAAAATGAAATGGTATAAATTAGGAAAAATTTGTTAGATACTTGGTTTTTCCCCCCCAAACTGGGGATCAAACCCAAAGGGGCTAAAGATGTAGCTCAGTGGTAGAGCACCCCTAGATTCAATTCCTAGTACAGCAAAAAAAAAAAAAAAGGGGGCCTGGGATGTAACTCAGCGGTACAGTACTTATTTTCCATGCATGAGGCCTTGGGTTCAATTTCCAGTACTAAAGAAAAAAAGAAATCTGAGGTTACCTGAGGTTACCTGAGATGGGAGAACACATTACTTCAGAGTCTAAATATCTAGTAATGTAGATTTTTAAAATTTTTGTGATACTGGGTATCAAATCTAGGGTCTCATCCATTCTAGGCAAGTATTCTACTGAGCTACCTTCCCAACCCTAAAATAATTTTTATTGATCAGTTCTCACCCCATAAATCAGATTACATGAAACATTAATTTCCTTAAGAATGAGGATAAAAAGCAGCAAGCAATTAAAAATACATTTATGAAAATTTACTTACCAAAATCTTCATATTTATCTGAAAGTGGTGAGGTATGGCAGAATCTCTTATATAAATCAGATATTTTTTTAAACAAAAACAAAGAGAATCTAACAGTTCTTTGAGGAAAAATCATCAGGATCACATGCTTGTTTTGCCTTTTATTTTCAGATTTCTTTTTAAGCCTACAACATCTGTAGTATCACCCAGTGATGATTTTGGCTTCATTATTTTGAATTTTTTACAACATTAAAAAAACCTCTGGGGCTGGGGTTGTGGCTCAGTGATAGAGCACTCACCTGGCACATCCGAGGCCCTGGGTTCAATCCTCAGCATCACATTAAAAAAATAAATAAATAAAATAAAGGTATTGTGTCCAACTACAACTAAAAACAAACAAACAAACAAAAAACCAACAAAACTCTGAAAGAGTCATTTTTGAACCTTGAGTGACAGCCAGCACAGAAAAGAATATTGCAACGTATCACTATATGACCCACATAGTAGACAGTCATTCTTCAACATTTGTGGTATCATAATTTCTAAAATAGGCAGCAATCTTTAAAAGCCTTTACTAGCATAGGAGTGTTATTTGAATTCTTATGGTATTATATCCAAAAGAAAAGATCTTGTGCTGAATATAAGTACAGAATGTGATATTGATTGTATTATCTCCTATAGGTGACTTAAATGACCTAATGCCTGCACATACCTCCTCCATCTTTCTCTTTCTTCCTTTCTTCTTTCCTCCCTCCGTCCCTCCTTTCCTTCTTTCTCCTCTGCCTTCTCTTTCTTACTATTGAACCCAGAGGTGTTCCACCAATGAGCTATACCACATCCCTTTTTTTTTTAATATTTATTTTTTAGGTTTTAGGTGGACACAATATCTTTGTTTTATATTTATGTGGTGCTGAGGATCAAACCCAGTGCCTCATGCATGCTAGGGGAGCACTCTACCACTGAGTCACAATTCCAGCCTTAGCCCTTTTTATTTTTTGACTTAAGACAGGATTGCCTAAACTGGCTTTGAACTTAGGATCCTTCTGCTTCAGCCTCCCAAGTAGCTGAGATTACACATGTATGCCACTAGGCCCAGCTTTTCTCATTGCTTTTGAAATGCTTCTGAAATTGAAAATGTATTTGACATTTTAGGGCATATGTCCTTAAAAAAAAGCATAGTTAAATAATAGTATGTCAGGAAATATGTGCATACAATGGGGATGGTACTTGGGTTGATTTTCTAGGAGAGAAATAGATCTTTGAACTAGCAGTGCCTTCAACTGTAGCTCTCCTTTTGACTATTTCAGAGCTGCTGACTTCAGCAATGGAACAGGAAGAATGTGACTGATTTAGATTGATAGACTCTTGATAAAGTGATTATCTGAATCTGGAACCCACATTATAGCTTTATCTTTTATTGTGAAAATTTCAGCTTTTTTATTTCCATATGAGTAATTTAAATCATAATTTTTGTTTTATCTAGATTGTCTTACAAGGACATGCAACAAGAGTAACTGCTAAATCTCAACAGAGTGGAGAAAAAGCATTTCAATGTAAATATGATGGATGTGGAAAATTATATACAACAGCTCATCATCTCAAGGTGTATATATGTGTTTTATTTAGTTATAGTATATCTAGGACATTAAAAACTAATGTGATATGCATATAGCATTCAAATGCTTATCAAAATACTGACACATGCTCACACTCAGACACACAAAAGTCTGTACAGACTGTAGAAACTGTCAGTTCTTTAAGGGCCTGGACTGTGTTTTTTCACCTGTGTATCCCTGATGTCCTGCATATTACCTGGCACATGTGAGACACTCTGTATATTTCAAAGCATTTGGTCAAATATGAAATTTATGTAATTATATGAGAGATGTGTATGTTCACTCTGCTAACAGTGATTCACCAGAATCCAGCAAAGTTGATGTTAATTTGTCCTGTATTAAATTTTTGGATGAAGTATTTTATTTTAATTGTAGATGAACACAATAGAAGTACTGTGACTCATTATAACAATATCTAAGACATATTAAATAACTATGTCAAAAAGTGTGCACTTAGCATATTTGGAGTAGTGACCCAAGAGTCCATCTTCATTACTTGTTAGTGTATAACTTTGGCCTATAATTGACTTCTTGGTACCTCATTCCCCCCAACTATAATTGGATCATAAGAGTACCTCTCTCACAGAGTGGTTATAAGAATTAAGTAAGTTCTGCTGTTTCTGTAAAGTACTAAGAAAAATGGCCTGATATGTGAGAAATGTTCATTGAATGGCCATTGTCATGATTACACATTTGTCACAGCAATAGATACTATTATGTCCCCACCTTACAAAGAGGACTTCAAGGTTTAGAGAAGGAAGTGGTGGAACCTTACTTCAAACTTAGACCCCTCTAATAGCAGCCTCCACACTTTTTACATTGGGTAACGTTTCCTTGCACCCTGTCTTAATTCTCTTCATGCATGTTTCATGCAGGTACCTTTAATCACTCTGGAAAAACTCAGACCTCAGATGTTCCTGTTATATTATAATATTGTTATTCCTTATTAAAATGAATATTTTAAGCCCATTTTATCCCCTCATCCTAGATGTGGAATACAAATAAAAACTTAAGTATGGGCTGGGGCTATAGCTCAGTGGTAGAGTGCTTGTCTTGCATACATGAGGCACTGGAGTCAATATTCAGCACCACATAAAAATAAATAAAATACAGATATAGTGTCCATCTACAACCAAAAAACAAAAAAAAAACTTAAATGCTTAAATGTAAGCTGGGCATAGTGGTGCACACCTATAATCCGAGCTACTTGGAATGCTGAAGTACGAAGATTGCAGGTTTGAGGCCAGCATGGGCAACTGGCAAAACCTCATGGCTCATGCCTGTAATCCCAGCAGCTTGGGAGGCTGAGGCAGGAGGATTGTGAGTTCAAAGCCAGCTTCAGCAAAAGCCAGTTGCTGAGCAACTCAGTGAGACCCTGTCTCTAAATAAAATACAAAAAATTCTCTCCGAGGTGTGTGCCATTGCGCCTGGCTTGTTTGCTTGTCTTTGTCTTCTTTTTTACAGTGCTGGGGATCCAGCCCAGGATCTCACCATGCTAAGCAAGTACTGTACCACTGACCTATATCCCTATCCCTGGGCTATGGTTTTTGTGGAAAAGGTGTTTTATTTCTTTCAAAAGCATACAACAAAATCACTCAGCACTAAGAGGGGAAAATAGGTCTATGTTAAAATCATCTTACTTGAGGAGTGTGTGGAAGAAATGGAATCATGCCTGTGTTTTAATAACAGGTCCATGAACGGTCACACACAGGAGACAGGCCTTATCAGTGTGAACATCAAGGCTGTGGGAAAGCTTTTGCAACAGGTAAGAACATAAATTTTCTTTGTTTCTAGGTTCTGATGGAGGTCAAGCAGAGATAAGTGGGCAAAAACTTGACCCTTCATCCTTGTCTTGAGTCCAGAGAACACATGATTGGGTTTTCTTTTCTTTTTTAAATATTTATTTTTTAATTGTAGTCGGACACAATACCTTTATTTATTTATTTTTATGAGGATCAAACCCAGGGCCTCACACATGCTAGGCAAGCGCTCTACCGCTGAGTCACAACCCCATCTCTTATTGGGTTGTTTTTTTTTTTTTTTTGAGGGGGGGGGCATTTTTTTAATATTTATTTTTTAGTTTTCGGCGGACA